TCGGAGAAGCTGTCTCCAATTAGACCACCCTGACAACACGCTTAAATTGCTAAAACTAGGTCAGTCCACTTCTGCATTTACAAAATTGTATATTTTATGCTTATAAATAATAAAGTTTTAAATGCCTATCGCAGGTATGAACACCGTGATCGTGTGGCTTTTAGTGCAGTCGCTGTCTCATTTCGTTGTTTAGAGGTTATTTTACTTTATTTTCGTAACTTCGTCATATTGGTAAGAAGACTTGGAGGAACGCACCTAGTCAGGATATCATGACATATATGATAATTTCCAGAGTCGGAGCTTGGACATGGTACAATGCGTAGTTGTATTTAGCTACTTTTCCAACTAGTATAATTGAAATGACATTACATTTAAATGCATTATAGAGCCATAATTTACAAGTGACCAGCATAAGAGAAAAATACATGCAGTTCTTCTAGATCTTTATTCAAACGAAATAATTGAAGAGTCCGTTATATGATGTGAAAGTTCAATCTTCAGCAGTTATTCATATTCATAAAAATTGCCTTTTGGGAAAATAATTTTAAGCCAATTTATAATAAATTTTATCAAACCATGGGGTTAGAAAGCAATATGTATTTTCTCACTCAACCATTTTTCCAAGTTGTAATTTTACAAAAGTGGAATAAAAATATAAGAGTAAGTAGATTGAGTACATTATCTTCACTAATCAAAGCAATCAGTTGAATATATAAAGTAAAGTTGTTTTAAGATTTCTTGCTACCTTAGAAGCATTATCACTCTGAAACCTCTATTAAATCAAGGTAACTTTACGAATGTACTTTGCTTATAGGCAGAGCTTGACTTTTTAAGATAAAATCTTAATTCAATCACTTATATATGATGAATATTTAGAACATGGACCAGCCAAACTCCCTAAGACAGGCCTGCATCTGAATTCTGCTTCTATGGGGCATCGCTTGGATTCACATTGATTATCGGTAAATAAAAGGAGTCTTGGTAGGTTTGAACTCTATACTAAAACTCTAAAAATCCGGATCCTAGTGTTCTAATCACGATCAGTCAAAAGTGTACATCAAATCCTGGTTGGCAATTATTTGGATATTGTGAATAACACAAAGTCTCCATGTAGAAAAACAAAGTTCATAGGTTGACATTAATAGAAATCAGCCAAACTTAGTATGACAACATGCTATAAAAATAAATGACCTATTATATTGTTAAATCTATTATTTATTATTAGGGAGGCAAAGAGTTCCTACTTAGGCCTCACTTAGAGCACCAGGTAAAATGCTTTGAAGTTTTGACTATAGGTTGGTCCAAACATGTCCTCAGCGCATCGCCTTGCGACCCCGATGAATCGATGCGGAGTTTTTTCTGTCAAATGGCAGATAATATCATAAAGTGAAGCACTGCTTTACGAAATTTTGCAGAATGCTAAACAAAATGGCGGCCGACTGAAATCTTAACTCATTTTTCAGCCTAAAATTATCCATTTAACAATACTTCTAATGACTTGGTCAGCGATTTAATTCTCTCCCTAAATAAATTAGTAGCTGCAAATAGCATGTAAATTAAATGTGATGGCGATCCAGCGACTGAATCCTCACCTTAGTCTTGCAACATTTACGCACTTTATTCTTTTCCTTTCCAAGTTTGTTGTGACTATGCATTTCTTATAAATAGAGTGAGGTTTGAGAGCATTAATCAAATTTAAAGCAAATTTAACATTCTCCTCTTGCTCAAGGGTGAACACTTAATCCTTCTTTCCAGGATATTGCCATCTAAATAGCTCCCTAGTCTTCATATCCTTCAAAGCATTTGGCCGTAGACCAGTCTTTATGTTGAGCTGTATTAGCTATTTATTCAGCTAGTTCATACTTTGGGACCCACAAACTTTGCGATCTGTTCTATATTTAATCAAACTACTATGATTGACTGGGCATGTGGATGTTGTATCATGTACATAAAGGTTTGTATCAACCTGAGTCGGAGGAAACTAAACTTCTCCCAAGGCTATAATGACAGAAAAAAGAGTTATTTTCTCTTTTTACTTTTTAAAAGTTTTCTACAAGCATATCCTACACATATCGCCTATCCTATACATCAATTTAATTCCATTTTTTCTAACTCTAATATGTAAAAGGGGTAAATCACCCCACTGCTTTAACTTCATTAGGAATAATACGGAAGGAAAGATTGAACTCTATAATGGATTATAAACGGATAGTATCTTAGCAATTTCGAATGTCTTAGTTAGTAAGGAGGGAAGCAAAGTTGGTTTAGATGTGTTAGGAAATATTTTGTTTCTAACTTAGTTTTTAAGACCACCAGTAGAACTTGTATAAGAGCTGTATTCACCATATTTCCTTTAATTGAAAAGGTGCTGGTTGTTGAATTTTTCCACAATGATATGAGTAGGCCTCACAATTCTATTAAAGTCCACTTGACCTTGCTTTTCAAAAGTTATTTTCATCCACATTGGACTGCAGTCCCGACCTCGCATTGGTCTCATCCACACCGCCAAAGTTATTCAAACGTGGAAGGTGCTGTGAATAATCTCGATTCTGTAGTAGGGTTATCGATGAAGCAAAGTTAAATTTGCTATTACAATTGACTACAATACTTATCTTCCTTTTATTAGCTTTTATATACTATGTAATGGTAATCTCGAAAAACTATTAAAAACGTAACTAAGAAATGTAGTTAAATGTAATAGTAATCACAACTTTGCCTTATCGACATTCTCATTCCAGGAATGCGATATGGGAAGGGCCTAGCCTTTCTTAAAATCCCCATCTATCTTGTGACCCAGGGCTATAGTCGCAGCATGGATTAGCGACTACCGTATCCAGACTAAACATTACAATACCCGGATTCGAATCCCGCTAGGGGTGCTGAGGAGACTAAGGCCAGATCGAAACTGCAGTCCAGCCTTGAGTAATAAACCTTTTAAGAGAGAAGACCAAGGGAAGTTTAATAGAAAGGGGAGAACTACTCATATTCTTACGAGAAAATTAAGTTACCAGACTTTCATCTCATTAAACGAGATATGATAAACACTACTCTTATATGTGTTAGAAAACACACCAATGTGGGATTCCAAAATTTATTTTCAAATCATACCAATGGAATTAAGCTAGAGACTATGTAATAAATAAAAATGAGAAGTTTACACTTTAAGGCGCTTACTCACAAGTATCACTATAGTAATCGACTACACGACTTATTTTTTATTGATTTTCAGGAATTCGTGTGCCCTCTCTCCAAATTAGGTTGCTACATGATAGAGTGTCCATGAGGCGACGTGAGAGCTGCAGAAAAGGCTTGTTGGTTCTTAATTGAAGTTTTAGCATGGAATGTGAAATTTATTTGCATACGGCAGTGGCATGCACTTCATCCAAACAAATACATTCATATAAAGATATGCAGAAACTTAATAGCCTTATAGGGCCGTTGTGGCTAAAATGGAATATGTGAATATTTTTCGTCACTAAATTTGTTCCCAAAAAAATGACTACAATAAAAGTAATTGTCACATTATGTTGGATGTTGCAATTTGTGACCAGATTATTCATAACTATAGAGTGGTACTAAACGTTAAGCCATAAACTATGAATATATGAGTTATATTTATCCTATTTAATTTAAGGTTATAAAGGGCTAGTAGTTGATTTTTACCACAATGATACACGTAGAGCTGATGTTTTCCATTGAATATCACATAACCTTGCTTTGCCAGGTGTTCTAAGATCTGATTTATTCGTTGCCTCGAAACTCTACTCACTTACGAAAAAAGTAAGGTGGTCGATTGCTATAGCAAATGAAACTTTGCTTCATCGGCAATGCCAACACAAAATGCGATATGGAAAGTGTCTGACATTCCTAGAAATTCATATCTGCCCTGTGATCCAAGGACGCTCGTGGCAATGTGGCGTAGTGGCTAAAGTGTCGAGCTTACATGCTGCAATGTCATAGTTCGACTACCGCTTTAGGTATTGCTAAGACCTATGCGAGATCGAAAGTGCAGCTTTTATGAAAGCAATGCTATGTGAAATGCAATGGAAAACATTAGTTCTACTCATATCATTATGGGAAAAGTCAACTACCAGTACTTCATCACCTTAAATGAAATAGGGTGAATACAACTAATATATCTGATTTACTGGTAGTCTCGAAACCCTACTCACTTACGATATACTGTGAATTACTTAGGATGCTCTGTCTACCACTTATTTTCTCTATCGTATGTGTACTCTAATTCCGCTTTCGGCTATGTTTCGCCTTAAAGTTCGAGGGGAATTTAAAACCTACTTTAATTTTGATTCATAGGCAGGATTTTTTCATTACGTCTCCCGATAATAAAAAGCTTTCCACAAGAGATGCTTCGCAACACCAGACATAAATGCATTTTTACTAAACTTTCTTTAGCGAAACTTTGACGTGAATGCCATAAGTTTGCTTATGAACTTGCACATTCAGAGTTAGAATGTCAGTGATATGAAAACGAAGACAAAAATGGAGTCCAATTTAAATGATTACCCCTTTTTTAGAATGAACATATGGCTGAAACTCTGACCTTGTCCCTTATTTATCACTTAAATTTTAAATTAACGAAGTAGTAAAACCTATAGAATGGCCAACCTTAATTAATTTTTGATAAGTTTATCGGAAAGTTAAAAAGTAGTAACATTTTATTATCGCTTGCTACATATCTTGACGGTTTATGAAATGGAAGTAACACTTATCCAAACTGCATGTGCGAATTGTGAGGAGTCTATAAAAGACAATAAGTGAATATAAGATCATGGAAATCCATGTCAGTATATAAGAGACAAAGAAAAGGTTGTCCAATAATATTGACACATTTGTACATAAATGCAATGGACAGGTGTTTGAAGTCATTGAATTCATAAATTTTGACGGATCATCTCTTACGGGCCTTTGTTGGACGTCTGATTTATCTAAAAAGCATCCAATTTAGGGCAATAAAACTTTTTTTACTCGAAAACCTTTTGTTATTCTACTCCATAGACACCTCCGTAGGGATCATCATCCATGCCATCTTGCCTAAATTTCGACTTTACTAACGCTGCTTTAATTTCACTAGCTCGTTCCCCCAGTCTGGCTCCAAGGCTGTCAAATCTACCCTCACGAATGACATCTCTTAACGTCCCATCCTTTCCCTCGGGTCGGCGCTGACTTGATGCTCCTCCGTTCGGATCGACCATTCGGCCTGTCGCCTGCTCAGGAGACCTATTCACTACCAAAGGCTGATGTTGATACTGCAGCTTCTGATCTGGTTTGCGCAGTCCGCACTCTAGTGAACAGTATGTTAGGCTGCTGTTACTCCCAGCACAACAACCACAATTTCCTCTGGACACTGATCGGACTAATTGACTAGAGTGACCAGGGGCAACTTCTCTTGACCCTGGGCTTTTACAAGTGAAATTGATGGTACTTGTGGTGTTGGTTGCTATCAAGGGACAGGTATTAGGACTTTGTGCATTCGAGGTGCTATTGCCGCTAAAAGCGGTACCAATGCCACCTAAACCCATGTTGCTTCCGCCCCCTGAAAAAGCTGATAGTGAGACATGGTAGAGATAGAAAGTCGGCTGTTGTGAGGATTGGTGAGAATGGTACTGTTGAAACTGGAGCGGATGCTGTTGCATCAACTGTACCGGTTGCTGGTGGCAAGGGTTGTAGGGATGATGATGATGGTGATGATGATGATGATGATGGTGGGAGTAAGGTGCTTGGGTCGCTTGCTGTTGTTGC